GCACGACATTGTCCTCAATGGAGGAAAGATAAGGAGGGTAGAACGCAGTTACCAGATCAAGGGTGAATGATGGTGGACGAGGCTGGCGATGTATTCCAGGAGGAGAAAGTGGTCAGAACACAAACACCACACAAAATCTCACAAAGGTTGAGTTATTGACTCTAAAATCAAATAACAAAACTGACTCAACCAAAGAGAAATAGGGAAAGAAATGCAAACCGAATGGTTGGGTTGCCTCCCAACAAGCGCTTCTTTCACGTCGTGAGCCGGACGATGGCTCCTAAGTTTCGGTCCACCCCAAAACCTCCTTGAAGTTGAGGTTCTCGTCAATGAGGTGGAGTCTCAAGTCACGAGCATGTGGTATGACAGGTGATGGAAGCTCGTGCACTTGATGCAGATGAAGTCTCCACCCTCGAGACCTCTTCTTCTCTTCTCTCGTCTCATTGCCCCAAACCAGATATGACATCATCGATTGGCCACCATCGCGTCCACCAAGAGGGACCAATGTCGATGTGGCCTTGGTCTGGCAAAGAGACACTGCAAATGGGTCCTTGCTAAGCAGTTCCCCGAAGTTTGGTGGGGATATTACTAGCAACTCATGGCCGGTGCAGGCCTCTTCCACCTCAACTTCGCCCTCAGCCTGGACGCCAATTGCTTCTTCAACCTCTCTTCCTTCTTCATGTGGTATCACCCCTGGGAAATGATCAAGAACTCCTCCAGCTTCACTTTCGTCATCCTCCACAACTTCTTTCTGCACCCTTTCTTGCTCTTCTTCTTCTAGCATGGATTGGAGAGCAAGTTGCCAAGCAATTTCTTTCATGAGATCTTCTTGCATCTCCTCACTCATGACCGCCTCTTCAAAGCTCGGTGTGGGATGTGGGAAGGTGTTGTCGGCTATGATAGGACATTCCTGATCATGATCATCACGGGAGCTCTCCGTGACAACTTCAGTGTAATCCACTATGTCCTTGTAGCCTTCTTCTTCCTCCTCCTCTTCTTGTATGGTAGCAGAAGGGTGATCTGGAGCAGGTTGTGCGAAAGATCGCTCAAGATCATCGGCGCTCTTCTTAAGGCTTAGGAGGATCTCCTCTGTTTCACGATAGGCCTGGACACAATGATCCATCCTGGAGCATGATCTCTCACAATCTCGAGCAAACTGCTCCATGAGAAGCCTCAATTCATAGTTTGGATCTGGCTGTGGAGTGTAGCATGGCTCTGCAGAATGGCCCGTGAAGGCCGCCATGGGTAACTCCAGCGTCGATGGCCCTTCTGGTTGTGGGAGAAATTCTTCTTGATAATGAGGTTGTTCTTGATATGCCCAGGGGTCCGGTTGTTCTCCGTAGTAAGGGGGTCGGTACTGGAACCCGAATCCATAGTCTTCTCCTCCTTGATTGCTCCAGGGAGTCTCGGGGTAATACCACTCAGATGGTCGTGGATACCCCCAATGATTGGAGAAGCCATGAGGATCCATGATTCAAATCTGCACCAACAGAAACAAAAACACCCAAGTGAAAAGCAAGGGTGGAAAAGAAAAACGCTAAAGTAACAAACTTCTGCCTTTCCTAATACTCTAGAAAGTCCCCAGCAACGGCGCCAAAAACTTGACTCGCTATGACAAAACTCCTAACAATGGCCAAGTGTAACCAATGAAAGGGACTGCAGTATAGTGGCTCAAGTAATAAATATCGAATCCACAGGTCTCTAGAGTTACTATTACTCAGCTTCAGTTCATTATCTAGCAAACCAGATTAAGATGGAAAAAACTAAAACTACTATAACAAACCACAGTTAAAGTTAATCTAATTACAGGTTGGGAACTCACTTAGGTATGATTCCCCCTAGCCACTAGCCAGATTAATGATTAATGATCTCTTACATGTTTCACTTTCATTCACAATGCGGAGAATCCTTAACTAGACCTTGAGTCTCGACTAAAGGAACAAGGCCCTCTTGAGTCAATTGCCTAGAGGGACGTATCCTTCTCTAGAACAACCGATCAGGGCGTTCTGAACTAGATTCCCTCTATCGAATGAGGTTCTCAATCGATACAAAGCATTGAATCAACCCTCGACTAAAGCAATCGATCCAATACTATCAATCTATGGTGCTCTATTGACCTAATCAGGTATTCGCTCTCATAGGATCAAAGCAGAATCAATAATCTCGACTAAAGCAGAATTGAATCATGAAAACATGCATAGATTGAATATGAACTCAAGATTATCAAGTCAGAGTACTCATACAATCATCCAATCAAACAAACATAGCTAGGGTTCCTCAAAACCTAAGTGAAGGGAAGTTACTCCATAGAGAAGAGAGAGACTGCATTAAGAATCTTAAGATGATCAGTCTTCAAGTCCGGGCTTGTTCCTCGAGCTTCCAATGCGAAGAAATCCTCCAATTCCACTCTTAGAATTCGCTCAAATCGCCCTCTCTCCCTTTGGTTCATCCCTTGGGTGTTTGGGATCCAAAATCCAGCTCTCCCTCTCCTTTGGCTCGAATTTGGGTTAAAAAACCCGATTCTGGGCAAAACACGGTCGAGGGCACGGCCGTGCTTTGCTTTTGCCCGCCCGTGTTTTGCCCCATGTTAAAAACACGCCCGCGCGCGTCAGCCAAAACACGGTCGTGCCTAAATATGGGCACGGCCGTGTTTTGATTTAGGCGCGCTCGTGTTTTTACTGCCGAACCTGTTCCCCTATATTCAATGCTTCGTTTCTCCCTCGTCCGGACTCCGAATCAGTCGCCGTTTGATCCCAGACGCTCGTAGTCTCGTCCTCTTTCTTTTCATGATAAACTTGCATGATTCTTTGTCCATAAGTGAGGTAGAAATCCATTCTTCTTCAGGTCATGCCCGAGTTTCTTCTCCCGAATCGCCAATTGATCTCTGATTGACTTGAAACTTGCGCTTATGCTTCACTTTATGTGCTAGAACCTGAAATGTGACAAATGAACACAACCTAGCGTAAAATACGCCAAAGACGTGATAATTAAAGCTCAAACGATCAAGAAACAAAGGGGAAAACATGTGCGAATATCGAGTCATCAGTTTTAAAATGAAAAAATGTATACATGATCAGATTTGTAAAATTTGGCCTATTATAGTAACTTCATGGCAACGTTTAGCTGTGCAATATGCAATAACCACACCCGGCCAACTGGCCGGGCCACACACTAGTTTATAATTTGATTCCCTATAACAAATGGCCATTCCACCTTCAAAAGTCGATAGTTAGTGTGGTACGGTTAGTAAATATGATTAGTATTTGATAGTATAAACCTGAAATATCTCTTTGACAAGTGAAAGCGAGAAGCGAGTCACTTGGGTGACCCGCAACCCATCCACCGCCCACCTGAATAAGTGTGGGAAGTATATTTTCAAAACACGATCCACCAACATCAATCACCAATCCACTATAATTTGGATTATTTGAGGGTGGATCGATGCCAAACGGTGGATTAGCCACCCTTATGCTCGCCCCTCGTTGATGGCTCCACTGTAAGGCCAGCTGATCTATAGACTTGACAATATAGAACCCAATGACTCATTTTGCCAAATGAGACTGTCTGGCCCTGGCAATTGTGGTAGTGGTATAGCCAAAATTCGCCCAATCATTCCTATTGGAAAACAATGACCCAAACAATCTTCACACTAGGTACTCACCCTTGGAGTGATCAAAGCATCCATTGTCTTCCTCCTGTAATAACATGGCAAAACCATGAGTACATATCACAGACAAGAGGAGCGACAATGGATCCCCTGCCTCAGTCCCCACGATGACTGAAAATACCCACAAGGCTTACCATTCATCATCACAGGAAATGTCGCAGAGGAAACACACTCCTTAATCTAGCTAACTTATTGTGATTTGTGAGCAAAATCCCATTTAACCCGTACACAAACCAGAATGGTCACTCAACTCTATTATAGGTCTTTTCCATGTCAATATTAAGAGTCATATAACCTTTCTTTTATTGCCTCTTAATTTTGAGATAATGCATAATTTCTTGCCCAATCAGTACATTATGAATAATTATGTTTTCTCTGACAAATTCATTTTGCTCTGGTGAAATAATTTTGGACAAATGAACTCACATTCGTTATGCCATAGTGTTGACTATACTTTTATAAAACAATTGACAAATACTAATTGGTCAAAGTCAACGAGATGTGATAAAAGCTTTTCAACATTAATCCATTGAGGAAAAAAAAGAGGTGTCTCAACTGTGTAGTATTTAAATTATTTAACCCAATTGTTTTCTAAATGATTTTGTCTCCGCTCAATTTCACAAATTACAATAATTACCCTTCAATAAGACAAGCAAAGTGAAGAAACTAATAATAAAGAAATAAAATAGGAACCAAAAGGCTAGGAATGACAATGGAGCAGGTTGGTGCAGGTATGGTACTCATACCGGTCCTATGACAGGTCAGATCCAGTTCGAGTAATCTATCTTGGATTGCGGGCCGAGATAGGTCGACGCATATGAATATATAATTTAAACAAAAAAACTTTAAAAATATTCATTTTTTATTAAAAAAAAGTATAACATGTGAATATAGTTAAATTATTCAAGAAATTGACATTCTCAACTAATTGTAATTCTATCATAGCTAAAATATGAGATAATGAATGTAAAATTTAAAGTAATTTGAGTAAAATTAAAAGTAATTTAGACAAAATAGACCGAAAATGGGACGGGTCTGCGCATATGAAATTGAAGAGATTACTCATCGGGTCAAGTCGAAATTACCATTCGACAATTTTGTGTTGAATCATAATTCATGGGACCTAACATCTAATTTGTTAAGTGGAACCTTCCAAATACTATATTTTAACAACCCAGTGGCCAAACAATTTTAGTTTGTCAAGGCTTTGATTAAGAGAAAAATGGGGTATATTATCACGATTCTCAAGCTATGTTGCTTAGATATTGTAACAAAACTTAAGAACGCCATTAAAATTGTTTGGAACGAGCTTTAAAGCTCGTTCCTCTTGTTTGTGATCACAACTCATACCGACAAAAAGAAGGAAAATCATCAAAACTTGGCAACCGAGCAGAGAAATCACTTCTGCTAAAGGGATGCAAAATAAAACTGCAGAACAAAGGTCGTTTGGTTATCCCTAGAAAACATTGTTGTGTATACGCTCAAACAGTTTGACCAACCCTGTGGCAGCTTCAAAGGTGACTTGAATCCCTCCCAAATGTGAATCTCCTGAACCAGTCCGATACAACCAGCACCTTTGTTCGCCATGTCACAAGCTTGCTGTAAAATGGTTCAAACAAACGAACAGGGACGTTGAATCATTGGTTGCTCGCAATATTTACTCAAAGAGATTATATAGGATTAAGGGCAGGACTAATATTGTAGTTTTACCTTGCATAAACTGTATACCAGAGACCCTGACTGGCATGGCCAATGGAAACCCAATCTCCAGGAAACTGCACAGCAGCTTGTTCACCTCCCAGTGGAGCAAATTGCCCAGAATGCTTGTAACTAATCACACCAGCACCAACAAGTCAAAGGATTATTCTGTTAGTTCAATCACAAGTAAAGTAAAGAGTAACAAAAATGTAAAGAGAAAAAAGGGATTTTCAATCCTGTACCTGAAAGGATGGAAAGGGTAACGCCCACCACTTTCCTGAAACCTGAAAGGGCCTTCAGGTTTCATCTCGCAGCGCCCAGCTTTGTTGAAACAAGCTGCCAGATATTTCCCTTGCTGAGACGCCACCTGGGCAGTTGGTGGGAGAAACGACACTTGAGAATCGACTTCAGATAAGGCCTTCTTAAGAGCTTCAATGTCTATCTTCTTCTGGGAATCCCCCTGAGCATTCCTCAACAGAGATTCAAAGTTCTTCAGCTTGTTCTTCTCCAAGTACTTCCTGACCTGTGGATACCTCTCGTAGATGTCTTTCACGAATTCCTTGAAGTCCCCGACATCTACAGCACCGGCATTGTTCTTGTCCACAGTCTTCATTATAGCCGCAGCATCTTCCTGGAGAACCGAATGAAGGAATAATCATCAAATATAATGGGTACAGACAGCAAGGTTCGGATTAAAACAAGCAACATCAATTTACAAGTACTGCAAACAAAATCGTCAGAATTTCACGTACCAGGGCTTTTCGTTGAGCTATGGAGGCGCAATCGCCGAGAGCATACACGTCATCACATCCTTGTACCTTGAGCCATTCATCGGTTGCCATGACACGCTTACCAGCCTGCCCAATCTTCTCCATGAACTCTGCAATCACAGGGCGAGTGGCGATTCCAGTCGACCAGAGAACGACTCCATAGGGGATGGCCTCGATTTGGCCTGTGGCTCTGTTCTTGGTGGAGATATCCTTGTCGGAAACCTTCACCACCATTGATCCCGTCTTCACATCGATCTGATCCTTCTGGAACTTCTCGTTCGCAAAATCTGTAACTTTCTTGTGAAACCTGACGACCACAACATACACATTTCAGAGGCGTGACCAAAAGTAGAAAATCACAAGTCATGAACAAAATCTGTTCTTCTCTGCCTTACATGGGCAAAATGTGGTTTCCTGCTTCGAGCAATGTGATCTTCAGATAATCTTTCAGAGATGGGTACAGACTGGCCAAGTCTTGAGAGGCAAAATCATGGAGCTCTGCAGCATACTCGACTCCAGTTGGACCTCCACCGACGACCACAAAATGCATAATTCGCTTCTTCTCTTCGTCGCTAATGGTCGGAAGGCTGGCTCTCTCGTAACAGTCGATTATGGACCTTCTAAGCTTCTGGGCATCGTCAACTTCCTGGTTATCATCATCAAACATGCAGACACATCAATCAACTCAACTGTTTATACATCGCAAGATTTAGTTCTCATTTTACCTTGATGATCTAATTAAGATTTAGTTCTCATTTTACCTTGAGGAAATGGGCGTGTTCTTCAACACCAGGGGTGTTGAAGGTGTTAACTCGAGCTCCCATGGCTATGACCAACACATCGTAATCCAATGCGAATTCATTCTCTCCATGACCCAGATTCTGAATGGAACGGCAGTATACTTTCTTGTTCACAGGGTCGATCCTGTAGCACTCTGCTTCCTTGAATTCCACATTGTATGGTTTCTGTCAAACCAGAACAGAACAAGCAACAATTCAGAGTATGATTCATTTCGCTCTACAACTAGGGGCCCGAAACTCCGTGATTGTGATTCAAGCAATGTGTATGGACGAAAAAATGAGCAGGCACGCCAAACAAGAGATCAATACGATTTAACATACGAAATAAGAATCATAACCAGTTAACCACAATTAACTGTGCGAGATCTATTATCATAAAACACTGGTTGAAACTAAGATCAATGGAGTTGGACGATTACATTGCGGACGATGTTCCGGATGGGTTCGACTATGCTGCGAGCTTCGACGGTGCCATTGGTGACGCTGGGCAAGAGAGGAGTGAAGGTGAAGTAATTGTGAGGCGAGACGACGTGAACGTCGTAGGCGGAAGTCTTGAGATTCTTGAGGAAAGTAGTGCCTCCCCATCCTGTTCCCAACACCACCAGCTTCTTCTTCTTCCCGCCGTCGTTCCCGGACTCGCCGGCGGTCAAGCTCCGGAACGGCGAGTCGTCTGAAATCGCCAAAAAGGCTCCGCCGGCGGCGCTGCAAAATCAAATCACGGCACACAATTGTAGAATCAGAGATACGCACTGGAAAAAGGAAAAGCACAGGGGAAGAGCAAAACAGAGAGATCTGCATTCCTTTTTCTCGAAATTGTTTACCCGAAGGTGAGGACAATCAGAAGCTTGGACGGTGTAGCGCGATTAGTAATGGCCGTGGAGGCTCTGTTGAAGATCTGGAAACCTTTCATGGCGGTCGGCTGCTAAAACCCTACTAAAACCCTGCTCCTCTGTTTTTTTTCTTTCTTCCTAGAAAGAGGGAGAAGGGAAGGTGGGCGGGCAGCAAAAAAGTGTGAAATTAAATGAGAGGTATATGTGTGTATTGTTTGGGGGAAAAGTCGTGGGGAGAGTGAATATAGAGGGCTGGATTGAAGCGCAAGGAAAGCGTACGATGGAAAATAAGTAAAATGAAAAAAAAGCCAGAAAGGTCAAAATTCAAAACCCTTCACGTTCTCGCCTTGCCTTGCCAGTAGGAACTAGGAAGACAGGTAGGCGTCAAAGTCGCGAAAAAAGCCTACCGAGATCTCAGCCGTCGATATTTTGGCGAGGCTGGCATGGAGTCGCGATTTACATGAGAATAAACGAGGGAGAAGGAGATCTTTTTGCTGGAAAATGGGAAAAGGGAGAAAGTTCTAGAAGCGAGTATAAATAAAGTAATTAAATGGGAAAATTGTCCACATTTCAGTATTTCACAATAGTCCTTCCCTAAGGAAATACCTGATTTGTCCACCTAGTATCTATATTTCCGATTCAGTGTAAAACTTAATTGTGTATTTCAGAATCTAGACATAGAGGGTGGAAAAATAAATGACACGTAATAAAATTATCAATTGCTAACGTGTTGATGATAAAAAATATATTTCAATCTTAACTTCTATAAATAAGTTAAACATTTCGAGTAGAATAAAACACACTTTTTTGGGAGTGCGAAAATCAACAACAAGGAAGAAACTAGAGTCGCATACAAAACAAGTCATAGATTTATATAGATATGGTGACATTTGTAGTAAAAACGACTTGAACTAATATCAAGCGTCAACTTGTCAAATATTTTGGATGAAAATTATTAGCGTTTTAATTATCTTCTGAAAATATTTTTCTGAGAGTTATTTTCCTGTCCGCCCTAATGAAAATGGAGAAAAGAATCGTGCTACTACATTAGAGTTCAAAATATCTTCTATCAAAATAAAAAATAGAGTTCAAAATATCTAAGCTCGTGATTGAAAACAGAACTTAAAAATCATGGATCTATAACATAAAAAAACAAAGCATATTATACAACTCTATCATAGCTTCGATATAAAAAAAAATGCACAATTTTTTAGGCTAGTGAAAACACATAAAACTAAAGTTCTATGCAAGTTAAACATATAAAATTGAAAATAGAGAGAATGACAACATTACATCTTGTGATTGTTGTATATCTTTGTTTGTCGTGTATCTTTGTCTTTCATTTTGTTTATAAGATTGATCTTTGGATGACAGTATTATGCATCTTGTGAATGCTACAACTATGGAAGTTTAAATTCTAAAAAATATAAATCCAAAACAACAATAGACGAACAAAAACTCATCAACAACATCAAGGCTAACCGAAGAACAAAATAACCTATGATATTAATTTTAGAAGAGTTTTGATTTCTGAGGATGGCATATCATGATGGTCTTCATACTACCGTTTCACGACAAACATTAATATCAAACATAACACATAGATGATGTGGTGGGATTCTACCGAGAAGGCAGACCAAATTACTGAAAGTTAGGGAATTTTAACCTTCTAACAACACCACATATTTTATCAAGGTTTTAATGAGAGTGTTCCTCCGACAAATTATCCATTACCACATTTGAAGAGTTTAACATGTAGCATTCAGTAAATATGCATTGTACTAGTAGTGATAAACTCATAACTCATATGCATTAAGTCAAAGGAAGTCATGCGACATACCCTCCAAAACCTCGTATTAATCCAATAACATTGTCCTGAAAAAACTCATTTCCTTCTTGTCTCACAAGTTGAACCTTGGTTATAATTGTAGGGAATTCATTAACAAATATTGTTGGTGGCGAAGCTAGGAGCTGGTTGCAGCTTCGATGGGGTTAATTTGACATTATCTTCAGTTATAACTTGGTATTGTCTTGCAATGTCATCGTTGACACTTCAACATCTACCCGAGAAACCAAATCATCAGTATGGTAATTATATTAAATAACAACATAAATCATTTTCTATTACACAGACAAACGTCACTAACAAATTGAACGTCCACTGTTCTCTACTTTTTCTTAACCACAACATGAGATTGCTACAACTCATGATGATTGAAGATTTTAAAATTCCAAAGAACAACAAACAAATATGTATAAATCCAAATAAAGCTTAGCTGTCCTATGATAGGTTAAGGGTAACTCGGAGCAATGGTGAGGATTTACATAATTGCGATAACATAAAGGGTAATTCATACCAATGCTAATAGTTCATTCAGACTAGACTTCGAGATTAGTTGAAGGACCATGCAATATAAAGCCCTTGAAGATGTATATGCAACAATTAACTTCAAAAGTGGCTCACGTCATTTCAGAACATGAGATCATAATCCGACAATCACAATTTGGATAGAGTAATGGGCATGAAGCCTAGTTGGAGATTAAGATACTCAGTCTAGTGAATATTGAAGCCTAGTTGTCCAATGAGATGTGATGGGTAACAATTCCATGACCTCAAATTCAGAGGACTCCGCTAGGTATCAATACAAGTATCATACAATTCTTTCACCATGAAGAAGGGCGTAGATCTTACTAGAAGAAATCAGGAAATGCCAACAATTAGATAGCCATACAAGTGGACTCTCGTAGTAGGTAGGAAGTACGGATGCTCTCACAATTATCTTTTTTATTTGTTTTCCAACAACCTTTTTATTCCTTTTTTTGTACTTTTTAGGGGGTTGTAGCACTTTTTACTAGCACGTATGGGTTTATATGCATTGAATTTTGTTCCCCTACATATACCCCTGTCTGTGTGGAAGGGCCACTACGTAGGATTTTTCAACCTTTGACCAACAACGAGCAATCACAACCATGCAAAATCATTATCTCACCATTACCACAAAAAGCAAACCATACATGCAATCCATTCACAATCAACAAACCACAAGCACAAGAATAACATACAAACATCGGTGAATAAGTGTAACTACAAATCAAACATTGTCTCCAATGTGCATGACACAAGGTGGATGTGGATAGAAACAAGTATACCACATTGAAGGGCCGGTGGAGAAGGTGAACAAGATCCAATGAAGGTTCAATTAAGCTCATTTTGGGGGGTAAAACACAAAGTGTTAGAGGAGACTCATATACATGAGATAGTTATTCACTACTAACCTACAAAGTATAAAAGTAAAAGGTAAATAAAATCAAATCGTACTTGTGTTGCCTCTCAACAATTGCTTCATTATTGTCATAAGCTAGACAGTTGCTCATAAGTCTCGATCCATCCCAAAACCTCTTTGAAATTCAGATTCTCGGTGATGTTAGGTCTCAAGTCATGGGTATGACATTTGACGAAGGCTCATGGAGTTGATGAAGATTGAGGTTCACCTTTGGGATCTCTTATTTCCTCATTCTTTCTTATCTTTTTTCCCTAACAAGATAATACATCATAAATTGACCAAAGAGACATGGCAAATTTATCTATTTCATGAAGCCCCTCAAGGTTAGGTGTGCCACCTTAGCTTGGCTCATACTTAAGAACATATTTATGCACCAAAACCTTAATTAACCCTAAGGATACAATAACCTCTTCAAACTCCTCTCTTCCTTCTTGAGTAAAATTTTTCTCTTGTTGAGGACCAAGCGCTTCCTCTTCTTCATTTTGCTCTTCATCCTTAAGAACATCATATTTACTCGCTTCTCCGACCTCTTCTTGTTGTTGCATGGAATCAAAGATTTAATTCCAAACAAGATCTTCACTAAATAAATTAATGCATTCTTCTTACTTCTCAATCATCTTGAGCATCTCTTACTCCTTCAAACACCTTCATTGCTCACCTTATCATATTCTTCTCTTTGTGGAATGGGAGCAAAGATGTGACTCAAAGCAAAGGAAGATAATAACTAAATATAACAATATACTCTTCTTCATTCTCTACCCTCATTTGTAACTCGTTAAAGTCTTGTATAAGGTTGTAATTGGAGAATTTCGACATTTGAACATGTTCACCCGATATCCATAATGTATTGTGACAATTCAAGTCCTGAGTTGATCTTAGGCTCTCAGGGTGTTGAGGCTACCTCTCTAGGTATGTAGGAGGTTCTTCTTGGAGTGGTGGAGGAACTTGGTAAATAAGGGAGTATGGTTGGCGAGCATAAAAAAGGGGTTGTTCTCAGAATGCAGATCGTTGACCTTCTCTCCTCCATGAAGCTTCCGGGTAATACCAATTCAGAAAACACCAATCTTGAGCTAGAATAATTTTCTCCTTCTTGATTTGAGTCGTCCTATTACATCTTGGAAGAATTTTAAGGTTTGATGATGAAAATTTGACTCCCAAAACCCTTCAATTCATGTCTCTCTCTACATATTCATAAACCTCTATTTTCTCTTTCTAGGATGCCCCATTTGTCCAAAAATAACCCCATGTACTTATAGGTTCGTGCCAAGGTCAAAGACCACGACCTTTAGTTAATGGTTGTGATCTCTAATTTTAGCCTATGAACTCCACTCGCCCCCTCAACTCAAGACTCTGAGTTCCATTCTCACGGTCATGAGTTTGGGCTGTGAGTTGGTATCCCTTCAGCTTAAGTGCTCATTCTTCGCACCCTTCAAACAACCTCCGAATGATCTGAAACTTTCTATACACTTTCCTTAACATGATAGGACACGAAATAAGGCAAGACAACACAACCTAACATACAATATGATGATAATGAACAAAAAGGAGATAAATGAAAAAAATGGTATAAATCTTATTAAGTCCTAGAATATCACCATAAGTCACTTATAACACAATATCAACCTAAAACGGCCAAGGTATGATGATTATAGCATTCAAACACTTAAGAAATGAAGTCTAAAATATGCATAAAATGAATGTCATCAAAATTCCAATTTCTTATAAACAAATTCCAATTTTTTTCTTTCCTTTTTTCTCAGCCAATTTTTTTCTTTTCTTGTGAGCGTGAAAATGAACAACACTAGGTCATAAACCGCAAAATTATGCATACTTTATAACTAATCTCAATATGTTAGATCGATCTAATGGTTGATATAAATATTTCATTAATTCTCTATTTTTTAAATCAAATTG